CAGCCGCAGTAAAGAATCAACGTTGGCGGATTTTGATTCTTGACATCCTTTACGATCGGTTACGATGCCTAGAGTACGGAGACCTGTACGATTTCGTCAACTTAGTGAGTTTGATAGGGGCCATATACTGGGACTTCGGGAAGCTGGACTTTCTTTTCGGGCAATTGCAGTTAGAGTGCAAAGAAGTGTAGACACTGTGGTTAGGTGTTGTCAGGCATGGCTTCGAGAAGGCCGTACGCAAAGAGGCACTAGACCCGCCGTAGAACAACAGACCGTGAAGATCGCCGCCTAAGATTATTGGCCTTAAGGGACCGTTTCTCCACTACCAGGTCCATTGCAAATGAACAGTTTGCAGAACACGGAAGACCTATTGGCATGCGAAGTGTTTACCGACGAATGAGAACTTTTGTCTTGTTTTCATACCGGCCACACTGGGTCCTCCCTTTAACTCGAGAACACCGACGTAATCGCCTTGAGTGGTGCAGACAACGGTCACTCTGGGATCAGGAATGGAACAGTATTATCTTTAGTGACGAGTCTCGATTTTGTTTAGGCATGCACGATGGTCGTGCCAGGGTTAGAAGGCGACGTGGTAAAAGGAGGAATCCACAGTTTTTTGTTGAAAGACATGTTCATCACACTGTTGAAGTTATGGTTTGGGGTGCTATAGCTTATGATTCCAGGTCACCTTTAATCTTCATCAGAGGTAACATGAACGCGCAGCGTTATATCCACGAAGTTCTAGAACCCCATCTTTTACCCTATCTTGACACCCTGGCAGATCTAACTTTCCAACAAGATAATGCCCGACCACATGTTGCAAGGGTCACAATAGACTTCTTTCAACATAATGATGTCACATTGTTACCATGGCCACCAAAATCTCCCGACTTACCCATAATTGAGCACGTGTGGGATATGATGGGTAGGAGATTGCTCAATTTGCAACGTCCTCCTCAGACTCTAGAAGCACTTCGAGAGGAGTTGGTGGTTGCCTGGAATGAGACACCACAGGAGGACATTGACCACCTGATCAGAAGCATGCCTAGGCGCGTTGGAGAATGCGTAGCACATCAGGGTGCATCCACACATTATTAAAGGTCAAAGGGCTTTAAAGCAGTGCAATCATTTTGAAATTTTTATCATTGACTTATTATGCTTTATTAAGTACTTATACAAAATTTTATTAAAATAAAGCCATTTAAACTGGGTGTTCGTATTTATATGTCACTTAGTATACATTTGTTGGTTGTTCCTGTTGCCTATACTGTTGGGTCAAAGTAAGCATATGCCAAAACATTTATCTCCACTCCTTCACTGACTACGGAAGAGTTCTCTTCATCACCATTAACATCCTCATTTTTAAACTTTGCCTCTAACTTGAAAAAGTATGAATAACTTCGATGCACAAGAAATTCTAGAATTTTTTCTGCATTCACCGAATATTAATAGCAGATCGACTTGCTCGTTTCTTGTGGAACTAATAGTAAAAAAATACTGTAGGTTTCCCTTTTGCGGAATAGGAACAAGTGAAAATAAATTGAACTGTTGTTTTCCACAGCCTACTTTTCGTTTCAAGTAAATGCTATTTGAAAACATCCTTATTTTCTTGCGGCGATTGGTAGCTTCTATGAAATGATTGAAATTTTAATTTGTTACTCAACTGATAGTAGCTTGCTAATTGGAAATGCGTTTTCGTTTAGAGCCAATAATAATAACATTCACAAATCCTTTTATGCAGCTGAACTTTACGTAGAAAAAGATTTCTGAAAAAGGTATACATGGTACTATTTAAAATCTATCAGAAATCCTCTGTTAGAGATGTGGATTTGTGTTTCTTTTTTCAAATAAATACACTAACATGAAAAACACATAATTACAAGCTTTCATTTATTTAGCCCGTTTTAATAGACATTTGTTGATCCCGCCACTTTGACAGTTTAAAATATTTTTTTGTCTTGTAAGCAACAAGGCGGATTTCAGGTTATCCAGGAATTCCTTTATAGCGCCGCCATTCTAAAACGAACATGTCACTTGTACCAGCGTTGCAAGGAGAATTTTGCATAAAGTACGATTATGTAAGAAAGGTTTCCATTTGAAAAACGAAAGTCAAGGTAACTTCTTGTTAAACCGGAATGGAGACTTTAACCCATTCAGCTTTCCAGGAATGCCTTTTAATGACTAAGTAAGCATCTCCCAATCTTGTCACCCGGTATATAGCTCAACTTATAGTTCAAAGAGCTAAGTTACCCTTGATCTGAGCGTAGCCCATAAATGGCATTTTCTTATTTAACCTTAGAGAATATAGCAAGTAAGAAAAGTAAGTAAAGTTAAGAATTTCACAATTTGAATTCGGTGGATTTTGCACATAACTGAAATAGACGCACGCTAAAAGTTGCACGTGACGATGAGTCTCACTCAGCTGAAGTATGTTGGTACGGCAGCTAGGGTAACTGAAAAAAAAATGAAGTAAAAACTGAAGTGGGGTGAGAGAGATGGTACGTGAAACGAGCGCTCATGAAAGACAAGATATAGGAGTATCAAGCAGTCATTGGAATTCTAAATCATTCCACCAATATATGAGGATGCTGCTAAGTTCTTAACATCAGAGTATGTTCGGTCTTATACTAGGAATACCAATATTACCCCTTACTTCAAATAACTAAAATGCAGAACTGATTGAAGGATGAAAAGAAGGCTTTCCAGACTCATGTAAATAGTATTTACTTTATTTTGAAAATAAATACTCACCACTCCGTAAACACCCAGGTACGTAGAGAATAAAATAAAACATGCAAAGCAAAACATGAAATACTGGATATGAAATATCGTTTCCCGCAAAAACCCTATATTCATGTACGTTGTCTAAGCTCGTCAGTGTTCTGACGGAAATGCGTTCATAATACAAAGTCGCATATTTTCGACTCAAATTGTACGTCAGCAAAGCGGTAATTCTGACAAACATTTAAGGTTTGAGGTTGCGAATGTTGCACTGCCTTTGAGATAAATGTTGATAAACTAGTTAAACTTGAACAAAAAAAGGTCTGTAATATAGCTATCAGAAATTGCACCCACCGAGAGCAAAAATATGATACTAAATTGAATTCGCATTCGCATATTCTTTTCCTTGCTGACTCATCGCGTCGAACAAAATCTCACGAGATAAAACGAGTCGACGTCAATATTTTGTCCATCATTATGAATAATGTTATCTTTTATACTTTTGAGAACCATCCTTGGCAGCATCAGCCAGAAAAAGTGTATCTTTCAATTTATAGGGTCATCGAATTAAAATTCAATACTATTTATTGATCTGTATACTTTAATTTTTATTGGTGTGTCTCCTGCCAGCACCCGCACCTCTCCTAAAGAGCGCAAACATATTTGTTTGCCAAAAGAAAAAAAGTGCCAGCTCCATATCTCCTGGAAGCCAGACGGGGAGGCAGCATCGCAGCCCATTTATTGGCCTTTCTCCTCCAATAAAGCTGAGACTAACAGCCGTAACTCATACTCGGGGCATAAACAAGAGCCTGTGCCGTATATCATCCACCTTCCGTTGTGCACGCACAAAAAACCGGAATAATGTTTCCGCTACAGACGCCGGACGGTGATTGAAATATACGTTCAATGATAAAAACGGATTCCGAGAAGAACAGTCGCTTTAAGAGCGAGGGGAGATGCGGAAAGACAGTTTAGTGAAAATTGTCTGTTTTTGCAGGTACCCGAAGAGAGTATTATGCTTACTGATAGCTCATCTTTCTATACGGCTCAAATAATTCGGATAGACTAGGAGAGGCCAGAACTATATGTTTACATTGCATTGTTTGCCGTCAAAATCGCGTAGTTTTACTTAACTACCATTGCCTACCAAAGTGATAGCATTGAAAAACATAATAATACTTACTGCGAGAAAGATCTTTGGTCATTAAGCTTGTGCAGATCTTTGCAAACTATGCTGAAGGTACCATGTTCTGAAATTGTCTAACGACACAATTATCTGCAAACACTCTCGCTTTTGAAACACAAAAAATACGAATTTAATGTCAAAACTGTCAAAAAACTAACTTTTGTCACGTTCACTTGTAGTATGCACTTTCATCCTGACTACCGACTGCTATTTTGGAGACAAACAAACAGTAGGCTTGCTCCTTCCGCCTACTATGCATTCAATGATTTTTTTTATACTTCAACTACCACGAAGGCCTAAGGCCTTAGCACCCATTGGGTACCGTGGGGCTATAGGGAGATACATGGGAAATGGGGGGGGGGGGACGGATAAAGATAACCAGCTTCATTTTAGCTGATAACAATGATAGATAAAATATATATTCAACGATAGCTCATCACGACAAAACACCAACAAATAACAGTTGGATCTCTATTCTAAAAAACGAGGGAGTGAAAACACTGAGATAAGGTGAGCATGATTCTCTTGTCTTTCGACCCTTAGCAGTGATGGAACTCTCGCTCTCCGAGTCATTTAAAAAAATGTGGGAACCTTGCCGGCGATTGTCAGTCTCATCTATAAAAACGAAATTGACATTGTGATGAAACAAGTTATGATGTAAAGATATGCATCAATAGACTTGTTGAGCAAATTACCACAGCTATCAGAATTTTATATCGTCCTCAAGAGAGCATTCTCTTCTTCTGTAGTAGTACCATCGTATTAGGTATTCCACCATTGGTCATGTCTGATGAAGATTTTTTGTGTTTTCCACCTTCCTTATTACGAACTGTTCATATATATGATGTACCATAAGCAAATATTCACTTTCGTTTCAATCTCTTTATCCCTGCTTGATAACAATAACTGAACGATTCACACTGCAACTCGAACTATATATTGTAGCTTGAATATCTTTTCCGAAGGGAAGAATGCCTGATGTCGTCAGTTCCACCGATTTTCCAGAATATTTTACAACTTCATTTCCATGGAAATCCAAACTATAATGTGCGGAAGACCCTGCTTGGTTCCAACAAAGCAGCAGGGGTTAGCTCGTCTGTATAGCAACCAAGTCGTTAGGTGTCTGAGGTTACTATGTGCTAGAACCCTCCTGCAAGAGGGTTGGACTTTTGACTGGCTGCTGGTTGTTCTGAGCACACCTAAATGATACACCAAACCCTTGTGATTAATCAAAAAAGGATAAGAGGCATAATAGAAAGAACCTCAACTTGAAATGGATCCCAAAACATAAATCCAGCCTGCTTATAGCTAAAAAAATCTGTTTTTTATATAATTGAAACAGTGCTAATGATATAACGTGTACCTACAGGTCACGAGGAAGGATCTACACTAACAATAAGTCCACAGGGACTTCGTATATCCGTAACCTGAGAACTGAACACTAACCCACTCATAGCTAATAGGAAATTATATCATTCCATCTTACCCATGGCCAGGGTGGAGGGTGGGCTCGAGGGAACAACATCGAAGATAAAATTTGTTTTTCGAACATCGGCGGGATTAACAGCAACACTGATGCTGTTCATCACTACCTGCAATCCAATCGTCCCGCCGTGCTTTTCTTGGCGGAGACAAAAATCTCAGAGTCTGCACCGATTAACCATCTTAGCTTCCCAAACTACGAGGTGCACTCCAATCTGAGAAAGAACGGGGGAGTTGTGGCTTTTGTCCGCAGCAGTCTTTCCTACTCCAGAGATGTTTCTTTGGAATCAGATCGGAAGGACATTCTGTGGCTTCGCCCTCAACTCCAAAACATCACCCAAATTTATTTGCTGCCTTTATCGCTCTCCCTCGGACCAAACCTACTCGAATACCTCGCCGTCCAGATCGACTTCCTGTACATCAATCATTCCGCTTCAGAGGTAGTTCTTCTCCGTGATTTCAATGCCCATAATGAGCTTTGGTTGGGCTCAAACAAGAGCGCAATGGCAGTAGGTCTTTCTGGACGCTGGCCAAGCAGATTGAAAAGAACTTCTCACACGGTAGCCTTCCACCACTTACGTGTCAGGATGGAACTATATTCAACTCAAAGGCCAAGGCGGAAATGCCAGCCAAGATCTTTGCTGCCAAATCCACCATGGACGCCCCCCCCCCCAACGCCCAAGTGCCGTCAATTCAAAGGGTTCCATACACTTTGCGCGAGGTAACATTCAGGCATAAGACAGTAAGACGAGTGCTCTTGTCGCTCGACATCAACAAAGCTTCTGGTCCGGACTTGATTCCTGCCATTGTACTGAAGAGGTGTGCACCGGAGCTTACTCCAGTTCTTTCGCGTCTCTTCCAGATACCTTATGAATCTGTACCTTCCTAGAAAACTGGAAATATGCTCATGTCCAACCCATCCCAAAAAAGGGATCTAAGACCGACCCTTACAACTACAGGCCTATAGCTCTGCATTCTGTTTTAAGTAAGGTGATGGAGAGGTGCATAAATCGCGAGCTTCTGGACTACCTCGAACGTCACGGCTTGATTAGCGACAGGCAGTATGGTTTCCGGCACCAACGATCCACAGGGGACCTCCTAGCTTACGTCACTCAATTGTGGAGTAAGCTCGTCCAGTCTTATGGTGAGGCTCATGTCGTTGCTCTTGACATCACTAAAGCGTTCGATCATCTGTGGCACGCTACCCTCTTAAGCAAACTTCCATCCTATGGCCTCCCAGAAAAGCTTTGCAGATGGGTGGCTGACTTTATCTCTGGCCGCAAGATATCCGTCGTAATTGACGGGTTCTCCTCTTCATCCCACAACGTCAACGCAGGTGTTCCCCAAGGATCGGTCTTGGCTCCGACACTGTTTCTCTTACATATCAAAGACCTCCTTTCCTGCACGATCAACCCAATTCACAGCTTCGCTAATGACAGCACTCTACATGCAGGAATTCAGGGTGACAAGCCGATCTCTGCCGCTGAGTTGGAAAAAAGAAGACTTGCGATGACTTCCTCTCTGACAAGAGACCTGGAGGCTATCACTGCTTGGGGACGCAACAATCTTGTACAGTTCAATGCTTCCAAAACGCAGTACTGTACTTTGACGAACAAAAAGCGTCCCTGCGCTCACCCGGTTTCGATGGATGGTCTAGTTCTGCCAAAGAGCTATTCATTTCGGCTGGTCGGAGTCCAGATCACCGAGGACCTGATCTGGCGCGAACATATCTCGTCAATAGCTGCAGCTGCTGGGAAAAAGCTAGGCTATGTGTTTAGGGCTAAGAAGTACTTTTCTCCGCATGACCTTCTCACTCTATATAAGGCCCAGATAAGTCCTAGCCTCGAGTATTGCTCACACGTTTGGGGTGCTGCCAGCGATCTGGCTCTTTTCTACCGTTACACCAATGGGCGTTTGCTCCGTGTCGAACTTCGTACATCCAGAACCGGCCGATACGACCGCTCATTTGTCCTGAGGGTGTCGAGATTGTGGAACAATCTACAAGAGGAAGCTTTTCCCAGTTCTATTAACCTTAGGCAGCACAAGAATCGTATTAATAAAATTTCTTTGGGATCATCATAGCAGTCGCGGTGTTTCGGCATTTAGGCTTCTGCCTGCGCGGCTGCTTCGATATATAAAAAAAGAATCTTACCATAAATGGTACTTTCTACGCAACGCTGCAACCAGCTCATAAAAGTTCAAGTTAGTCCCTTTCATTACGCTTCATAAAAAAGGAATTAAACAGATCAAATCAGTCAAATAGCTCGGTACAATCAATCCTCAGAAGCTACCTAGTTCCTAGACGTTTCTACTACTGACCGCGTTACAATCACAGCTCGTGACAGATTTCTTCTACCTTTGCCGAGTTTGAAGCAGGGACTGAAGATGTTTATAAGTCTTTAAGGGAATATGTAAGGAAGACATATTTTAGTTTTCCACCACCTGCAACCCTCACCTCGAATTTTTCCAACAACAAAGAATCTATAAGGAAGCAGGAGTCTCCGAAACATCAAAAATGAATTTTAAGCGATTATTATTACACTCCTTAGTTTTTTGTCCCCATCTCAGTCACCACTGGCTAGATTTTCAAAAGCAACAAAGCTTTTTTGTCCTCAACACAATAGTAGCCTTGTGTTAAAGTATTAAAATTCAAACAGTACCTTTCCAGTTAGAGGGCCAGTGATTAGTGACATACACACCAAAAAACATAACTAATTCTCGAAATTCTTACTCCCTCTCCTATTGCGGTGGAAAGTAAAACGATACGGATGTACCTACAAGCACCCAGAACGGATCATATCGTCGACTGCAGGGAAGTATCGGATATAAAGAGCGTCTCTTTTGTTCGGGTACCGTCCCGTAAAATCCAGGTTTTATTGACCGACATAAATACCATTGATTCGGGGCATATCGTCTATCGACCCGTACGGTGCTCCTCTTCACCGAATAGAGTGTTACATAAACTTGCATAAACTCCCTCGGCTGGAAGTAAACAAAGCCATAAAGACTCCACTTTCAATAGTAATGGACGGCCGAAGTTTCGTAATCACCTTACCGTCGTATCGCGGACACGAATGCAGGGTGGTGGGAATGATTGGGATTCATATTTAGGCACAAAGTAACTGTATTCGTGCCAAACTATAAGGATCTTGATATAAAAATATCGTCGAGTAGGTTGACTTTTCATGCAATAGTGTCATCAATTCTTAAAAGACACAAGAAAAAAGTTAGCTCCGAATATGTATAACAAAATAATTAAATACTCAGCCAAACGAGCTTATACAATAAGTCCATAGAACCCACAAGCTTGTTTCCTCTATATTTCCGTACGGATCATCTGCTAGCTTTGCTATGACTAACCTGGCCTCTCCCCAGCCGCCCAGTCAAAAAACATTCCAGACATCGATCAGTCCTCGATGCTGGTATGTCAACGTTGGATATGTTGCGTGCGACACGTGAATTTCAGGTATTTCTCTGTCATTCAAGTTCTTATGGACAATTTGTGGAGAAATTTATGGTACGAGTATGTGAAACATGCCTGATAGAGGCATAGAGTTATTGGCATTGAAAGCGCAAAAAATTGAGATATTCCTACCCCTACCCTTCAAACAAGAACGAAGGCTGGCTATAAAGCCTGATGTATTTTACCGAATGATTCACATGCATTTCAGGGACGCGTATACTTTTGAATAGTATTAAACCGATGACAAGAGATAGACATTTTGAGTACAACAGCAAATATGATGATGGTGGAAGAAATCAATTAATTGATCTGAATAGAAATACATATGATTATATCACTATTCGTGCGAAAGAAAACTGACAACGAATTCTACAAACTGCAACTGCAAAACAATGCTGACAGATGTAACTTTGTCTTAGGTAACTTTCCAAATAGTCGGTGTTTTGCAAGAAAAACTCTATTTGAGGTTGATCTTAATACTTGCTAACTACTTGAGAAAGACAGTGTAAAATTAGGAACAACTCCTGAGGGTCAGCCTTGATATCTTTAAGTGAACGTATAGCACCAATCGCCTCTTTGTTGGCATATATTCAGACATGATTGCAACGTAACCCCAAGTCTGAGTCTGGAATAGAATAGCTTTCCAGTATCAGAACTCCACTCCCGCAGGTAATCAAATAGATAGCCAATCATTGTTTAACTTCTAGATGGATCGACAGACAACGCTTCTGTTGACAAACAATCCATAGCGAAAGCAGGAGAAAAACTGAGCAGAGATGGAGAATTAAATATCCATCTCCTTGGGCCATCCTTTAAAACAAATGCCGTTGCTCATCTGGCCTGCTCTGATTCAGCAGTGGACCGCCGCCGGGGGGAAATAAAACGAAAATATTCGGACGAAATTTATGAAAACCCCTTTGTTTGCCGAAGTTCTTTTAATTAAATTCGATCGAACAATGTGGCCTCTCATTTGCTGACCGGATGTCGACAGCAGCGTAGATAAGGGATATACCACCAGACGGATGATTAATCTATTGGAGTACCTTTCACGGACAATAACGTCAGACTCCATCTCTCAACTAAGCTCTAAAATTCAATCAAATAGAATACTCAGCTTTTTGAGAGCTGTTATTGTTTATAGAATGATAAACTTTTCCCAAACTTGAGTTTTGGTGTCGTGCCAGCACTATTCATCGTTCAACAAAACGGTTCTAGAGCAAAGCCAAAACTAGTTTAAACGGTATAAAAAATCGTCATGTTAAGACAACAGTGCTGGAACCTTTTTTCTCAACGTACAAGCACATAACCGCTGTACGGCTCTTCATCGACATGGAACAAAATTATAGGATACACAAGAGATGCTTATATAATTCAGGCAACCTTTATTGTAATTTCCGATGGTCATTCTGAATCACCGTGGCCGAATTCCTTTATTGCGGCATTTTTTTATCTATCGAAATCAAACATAGCTGTATCTCTAGAACATGTGACTTGCCACTATTGGATGTGATTGAAGTCAAAAGCTTATACCAACAGCATATCAAAACATTTACAAAACAAGTCAAGAGTGCGTGACCCTACCATGTGTTTAATAATTCATTCAAAAATAAGAACCCACATATTCAAAGCCATGTTTTGTATTTAAAATGAAACTTTTCGTGAATTTTAGGATACCCCCTAAAGAAAAAAAATGTGCTGAAGACAAACTATTGCTAAAGGTACCTAAGATATTTACTCAAGGCACAGCAAATCATTCCACAATTCTGTCCCATTGATGATGCTCAAATACCGACCTCAGGACAATGACCTGCAAGTTTGTGCGTCATCTATGACAATATATATATGAGTAATATTCATAAAGTTGACATGGCCTCAACACAGACACAAATATTACATTTGAATGAAATATAAATAACACAATCCATACGTATAACAGTAAGAGATACAAACAGGCTAAAAGAAATGAACAACAAAAACTGTATATATGAAAAGAAATGAATAAATAAGAAAATGTATATATAACAAAGACAAAACAAGTTAAGAATAATAGCTGGTGACAAAGTCATTCAGAGCAGATTATGAATGCGCAAAATAGTACTTCCATACTTAAAAATTAAACTATTCATGTGACTCCTCAAATGAGCATCGAATGCATCAAAACACAAGGCGTTTTGGCACTGAGTCTCGTTCACGCCACAGCAGAATTGCATCAGATGTATTTTCTGTTCGTTCAGTACAATTGTTCAGAGGATCAACACATTTTCACTTCATACGCTTACTTTCATATTGGATTTTACTACGCCACTGGTGGAGAAGCTGCTACTCTCGTTCGCAGTTCGCTAGTATCCAGAGCTTCGCTCCGTCCAAATTTTCTGTTTGTTGCCCGGAGCCTGTTTCTCCAATTTAAACTATTTTTTACTTTCCGTTGCCTCTAACTAACGATGAAGTCGATAATCCTCCATGCCCGCTCTCTCTTATTTCTTTTAAAATCCCCGACGAAAAAACCTGTTGGACTTGCTCATGTCTGTCGCTATGTAGCTAGAAGAATTTTCTGTAATTAGGAGCTTTATCTCATTCTGTCACACAGGCTCGTTTTAATATGCTCCTAAGCACTGCCAAGAAAAATGAGAACTAAAGGACAAGTAGAAGGATGTTGAAAATTAAGAAATTCAGACAAGAAAGAAAGTTTATTCGTTGTTCATCTCAATAGTTCGTAAATGTGTATTTGTTTCATCAGGACACACTACAAAGGATAATCCATTACAATATCATCGCAACGTTTAAAGCCCCTTTTGAGACCCGCATTCCAAAAAAACGGACCAATGAACGATGAGGTTACAAATCGAAATATTGGTCAATATCACAAGTTTTTAATTTCAAAAATTATGTTCTATCCATGAAAATTTGGTGAGAGAAATGGAGGAAGATCGTAAGCCTGACATCCAATCCCATGCACGGACGAATCCGGCAGTACGAGGGGAAAATTTAAAAACACAATATTGTGATGTATACTGGTGGACAATTTCATTTGAGCTTTTCACAAAAACCATTGAACATTTTGATAATTATGATTTGGTAACAACATGGAGAATTAGTTATGTGAGACAATATTCAATTAGAACGACTTTTTTTGATAGGTGATTTACTCTAGGAGACAGACAATACTTTTGAAAAAGAAAAAGAACAGCCTACCAACTGAGTCCAGGCGACTGACCTAGTCCAACTTGAAGAAACTACACAAACATCAAAATAGAATAAGTAATATTATTATTAAATATAGTGATAATAAATGAAGGACATAACCTATTTTGAGAAAAAGTCTTTTGTGAGAATTGGTTTTAAGGCCAAAACCTTGGCACCACTGGTATTGACTTTACGAGAAAATGATTGCACAGGACATTTGGTTGTGGTAGTTGCTGCAGGCTGACAGGTCATAGAATAATATATACACCAACGTTTTAAGCTACGTACCTGTATGCAGCAGTTGACAGAAATGTGTCTTTTTTCAAATTGCCAACGTCGAAGCTACCGAGACTCTGGGATAAGAACTTATATCCGTTATATCTCGAATCTCTAATCTAGTGAATACTTACAATAGTACTAAGAGACTGCTCAGCTTTTGTGGTATACTCACCTGAAAAAAAAATAAGGCTGTAGGAACTGATTATGATGACAGGCAGTGTAGAGTGTTTCAAATGTAACATAAGATATTTCGAAGGGGAACTTGGTAAATAAAAATAAAATAAAATAAGTTCCATATGAATTTGTATCCTAATCTTTTGTAACTGGCTTAAAGAACATTTATTTTCCAATGCACACCATTTTTCTTATTTCCTTAAGCGGCGTCTAAGCGAGATCTGTATCCTAAGCTTTTGTAACTGGCTTAAAGTACATTTCTTTTCCAATGCGTACCATTTTTCTTATTTCCTCCAGCGGCGTCTAAGCGAGATATGAGATTAATAGTTTTGAGGAAAGCTATGGCATGCCACTGTTTTAACTCGTGAAAAACTGTAAGTCGGTGAGAAGGAATTTAAAAGCTAAAAATTGCTCCAGAATTATAAAACCAGTTCTATACAAAATGTGGTGTACTACACTTGTTCTTAAAGCCATTAAATCAAGTTCAAAACTTTACCGTAGTGTATCTCAAAATATAAGATTTTTAAAGCATAAGTTCATATGCTGTTTTTTTTCTTGGAAATTAGCCCAAAGGGCGCCCGCTTAAGCATCTTACCTTACTGGGTATGTAATACTGATATAAAATTGGATAGTACAAGGTACCATCATAATCTATTGAGAAGCTTCTTTATTTGAATATAACTAAAGCACTCCACTTCTGATCAATACACCGCAGCTTAGAGAGAGGCTGTATATAGGAGAAATACCTCTTAGCGATACATTGTACAATCAAACTTGTGATTATCAAGCATCCCTTAGTGTATAAACAGGCAAGTCATCTGAAAGCAACGTAATCATTCTCAATATACAACACAATCTGTTTACAGGATACTACCTTAGGAGCAATCAACTGAAATTAGGATGTTGATTTTATTGAATCTGTGATGCTATGCTACAAATTAGAGTATCCGTACACTGGACAAGCAGTGTCTTTTATATAATATATAATAACGACATTTTCAAAATCGTGGAACCAGTATACCGAACCCAGTACTAAAATGTACGCTACTGTTGTGAAACAAAAGTGTGTTTCGCATAAACAACATTATACAGATACGAAACAAAGTCCGCTCATCTCAGGTTAAGCATCAGGTTTTCCAAAACTGTTTTGGTTCACAAAATATTATACAGGATGCAAATAAGATTACGTTGGCGTGCTAAGTGAGTTTTTTGTGTAATAAGTACACCACCATATGTGGCGCTAACTAATGATTGCATTAAATTTTTTTAATTACACAGTCTCGTTCAAAATTTATTTAAGTATCTGATTTCCGTCCATTCAGGTACTGTATCTCTGTAAGACGTTTTGTCATTCTAGGACTAGCTCAGTAGTGATACTTGGCAACCTTAAAATAGTTAATAGTAGTAGTAGTAGTAGTAACTAGTTCCTATATGTTACCGAAAATATTGTGGTCGCCATCTTACTAATTTTTGAAAATATGTACACATTTCCTGATATAGACAGCAAATGTGGCATACAAACCTTACACCCATATTGCAAAGTGTAGTCAGATGCATTTTGGCACTAGGTAAAATAATTAGTACTTCCATTGGAACAGTAGCCTGAAAAAAGCAACTTGTCGGAATAAATCATTGAAATTTAATATAAATGAGAATTTTATCAGAACTGAGTCAATAACTTAGAGGTGGCCTTATAACGAATCTGTATGGGTTGTGCCAAAAAAAGAAAGAAACCGGGTGATGCCACGACTGATTTAGAAACGATTTGTATCTTTTTGTTTTGTCTTCAATTATAATCATCTGGCAAACGACAAAATAAATTTGCTTATACTGACACGCACCTTTGATCAAAACGCTGTGTACAGATCAACAGAAGCAGGCAGATGGTATTCACTTGAAATAACAGCGAACATTTTTTGTACATCCTGAACAGAAACAGTATAAAATTTAGCTGTTAGCTGCTGCCACCAGCGCTTGTACCCTGATTACGTTTAAACAAAGTGATTTCGACTTATTTTCAATTATGCACCGAATTCCGAGCGGTTCAAATGAAATAAATTTGGCTGCGTCTGGAAAATGTGTCTGGAACAGCCAGATTTGCACGCAGCTACGGCCTTTAAAATGAATTTCTTGGTGAGGTGATACAGATAACTTACTAGTTATCATACCCCGTTATAGTCAGTAGAAAGTTGTTTTGCTTCTATGTCTTTGAGAAGCTAGCCTATGAAAAAGGAGATATTTCCTTCAAGCGTTGACCCACACCCTGTAAAGGGTGTAGATTACAGCTACAAAACTTCTCGGGTCGGGTAAGAGTAGGCTTCCGGTACTAGCATGTTATTAATTTTCGCGTCGCGTCCAAGATTAGGATACTATGAATGAGGATCACAATAACTGTGGGAGATACAGCTTAGGCTGAATTATGGAAAAGCTGCGTTATTTGGCGCGTATTCACATGCCGTTGAGAAATTTGTAAACATCTCATGAGGTATTGGCCAAATCGTTTTCATTTTCTTCGGAATTTATTTTAAATAACATTAACAAACAAATGGAACCTCTTTATTGGCACTTTTCAGGTGCTACACGATGGAGTATTTGAATCGCGTGCCCGAATGTTCGTTCTTTAGAAACTATCATACACTTAACCTTTTATGGTCTTATAAAAGAACACCCTGTCTGTAGTAGAATTTTTTATTCAACGATGTATCACATGTTACATTTATTTTCTTGATTATGAGGTAAATGCGTTTTTTCTGATTTTTTTATTTTTCTGAACCCGTTGCAAACAGATGCTTGACTTGACGTAAATACCTATCGCAGAGTATTGTTATTGTTGGGTATTGTAAATATCGCTTTATTATGGTCAAAGATGCCAGGCATTCATATATATTCTAAAGTAATATATACATGTTATATCATTCAAATTCAACTTTTCTTTTAAACAAAAATTATTTGAGGATAGTAGCTACTGTCTGTTACAAACGTTTGCAATTACTTGACTTGACGGACTCTAACCGGGTATTGCACTTATCAGTTAGCGTACATTACGGTGTCGCGCCGGGTATTGAACACGAAGTTTACATAAGTGACTGTGACGGTGCCTAGCCGGGTATTGAACAACATGAAATGGGCGCAAGGCCTATTTATACTATTGGTGTGCTTACAAAGCACTTCTAGAAAACAAAGCATAAGCAACGAGTTAGCGAGAAGTCGTTATCTGTTGCTGACCTAGCGTCTGATGCAACATTGTATGGAATAGTGAGTCCATTGTTGTGAGTGCATATAACATATATATATATATATATATATATATATATATGGGCGGTTTAATAAGTACCCATGTCAGAAATGCAGACACCATTGTTTCCAAAAAAAATCTTTTTATTTTTCAACATAATCCCCTTTTAGAAAGATACACTTTTTCCAACGTTCCATTTTTAACCCCCCAAAAATAGGATTTGTCTTCCTCGTTTGAGATAAGTGTTTTCCCCGCGAGCTATTTCTTCATGTTAGGGAACATGAAATGTCGCAAAGGACCAGATCGGGTGAATGCAGCAGCACTTCATCATGCAATTCACGCAGTTTGGCGGCGACAACTCCAAATGAATGTGCTGGTGCGTTATCGTGGAAACAGCACCTTCTTTTTCGTCAAATGTGGACGTGTCTCCTTATATTTTTGTCGAAGCGGTCCAATAAGTCACTATATTGTCCAGTGATCGTTAATCCTTTTTCTAAAAAATACACGCGGTTCGCATCCCAAAAAATCGTCGCTATGACCTTTCCTGCCGATGGGACCGTCTTCGCCTTCTTTGGAGCAGATTGACCTGAAGAAATCAATTGTTTTGATTGTTGCTTGGTTTCTGGTGTATAATGATGAATCCAGGTTTCATCGACGGTGACAACTC